ATTTGGAGTCGAATATTAAAAATAATAATAATAATAATAATAATTCATATGAACCAGATCTGCTTTCCTTAGAGTTCCAGTGCGACAGGCTAAGTTATGGGGAGTCAAATGAGGTCTGAAAGAAAAAGAAAACGAAAATGAAGCTCCCCTCCAGGCCTCACCTGTACCCAGCAGGTAGAGACCTGCCTTTGAAACTCCTCATACCTGCCAGTAATCCTGTGTAATCAGGGGCTGTAGGTGTGTTACAGCAAGGCTTTTCCCAACCAAGCGTGAGGTCACAGGAYGCTCCAAGGCCATAAAGCCATAAAACTGAACCATATATGGGACATAAAACTGCACATGAGAGTCCACAGGGTAGTTTCTGAGTGACTCAGGTTGATCCAGCATGTGAATGAATGGAGGTCATGCTGATTTAAATCCAATATATGGAAAAAATAATAATAATTTAATCATGAGACTCACCTTGAGCTTCCTGCTCCTGAATATCCAGACTCCGTTGTTTCTTCCGAAAAGCCACTCGACTAAAGCTCTCTTTCTTTTTAAGCTCCATTATGGTGCTCCAGCCTTCAGGTAGCTGTTCCAGAAATGACTACAAACTTTGGAAACTCGCTCCTTTYCCCTCCGCGCTGCAGATCCAGGTCTAGTCCCATGCGTCTTTAAWAAGAACCGTCCGTGCGCCTCAGGAACCGGACCTGAGAAGCACCGAGGACCCGCAGCATCGCGCCTGTGTTCTACCGGGATCCAGCTGTGTTTACAGGCGACAAAACGATAAGCCTGATCAGCTCCCAGCGTCACCTTGGTGGGCGTGTTTACAAAGCCCCGCCCCTCTCCTCAGTGAACCAATAAAACCGACAAACCAGAATCACAACAAATTCATATTGTCTTATAGAAAGCTCAACTTTTAAACGTGAAAGCACGTTTTGAGCTTGTATTTAAAAAGTTTAATTTATGTGTGATTTAAAATAAATGCAAATCTGATTAAGGGGCAAGAATTAGAATAAAATATGAACTTTTCAAAACATGTTTTAGTCAACAAAAATATGGCATTACCTTTATAATCTTTTTGGCTATAATAAACAAAGCACTGTTACAATGTTAAAAAGGATTTTTACAATTTCTGAAACACAAGCAATCCGTTTATATATAAATAAACTTTGTAATAGGTCTAGAATAGTTTTTTTACGACTCCCGTTTTAAAGAGTAACTTACCCCAAAATTAACTTTTTTTTAGCTGATAAACTGTCTAGAATGTGTCTAAAATGTTATATTGTTTCTGTGCTAATTTTGATGTTTTTGTGCGTATTTGTTCAAAACTGAAATATTTGGTCTAAAAACGTATTTTTGCTGCTCATATGGGTAGAGCAGTGGTACTGCAGGCTAATTTGCATATTGGTTAATGGCTCTCCACGGTGACGTGCTTCTCCACAGTTTTGTCACAGCGGCTGTGTTCTGGTATAAAAGCCTCTCTCTAAGACACGCCCCTGCAGCAGTCAGAGGGTGGAACAGTTAGCATTACAAGAACGAGCGTCTGGTCTGTTGACTCTCCTTCAGCCTCGGGTGCTGCGCTTCTCTCTCTCTCTCTCTCTCTCTCTCTCTCTCTCTCTCTCTCTCTCTCTCTCTCTCTCTCTCTCT